ATCTTAACCCATTTCTTCTTCTTCTCTTTTCTAGGGGGAACTTGAGAAATTGACCAAATGCAGGGAATTCATGACGAGATTTGCTCGAGTTGGATTGCCTCTATTGCTAGTGGGGGAGAATCCTTACAAAATAATATGTCTACGAACCCTAGAATGCTCCAAAGGAGAATTTAAGTTCTCTGTCATTGAATCCAACTACTGGATTTCGTTGAAGCCACTAGGTTCATCAAACCTAGCAGATCTCATCAAATCAAATGAACCCTTCAATAAACAATATCAATCAAACTCTAATCAAATTCCAATAAAAATGTAATTAAATTGTAAATCAACTCCTAAATTTATCAAGAATTGGGAATGGAAATCAAAAGAAGAATGAAAAAACATGAACCCAATGTCGAAACCTAGCAAGGCTGGGTTTGTGCGACCAACAAAGCTGGCTTCAACGAAACCCAACAGAGTTGGGTTCATCGAAACCCAACCTTGCTAGGTTTCAACGAACCTGGCAAGGTTGGGTTTGACGAAACCCAACAAAGCTGGGTTCATTGAAACTCAGTTGATTTGGGTTTTGATGAACCTAGCAAGGCTAAGTTTCGACGAAACCAACAAGGTTGGGTTTCGATGAACCCAGCTTTGTTGCGTTTCAATGGAACCCAATCGATCTGGGTTCCATTGAACCTAGCAATTGGGTTCGATGGAACCAAATAGATCTGGGTTCGGTATTTCCATCGACCTAGGGTAGGAAAGAAAGAAACAGAAAGAAAGAAAAGGAAGAAGAGGGATTGGGAGGGTGAAGGTATTAACGTAATTTTATTTGTTTTTATTAAAATATAAATATATATCTACATGATATTTTTATTTATCTATATAACATAGTTATAATATATATTATTGCCATATCATCAAAAAAAATTAAAAGAAAATTTCACATGGAATTATTTAACTGTCATATCATGCTTAATTGATGAAGGGACCAAAACTGTGCAATTTTTAGTGTTGAAAGGATAACAAAGTGCAAAAAATAATTGAATAACCAAAAAAGTAGAAACCTATAAAGTTGAGGAACCAAAATTAGCATTTAACCTTGTTAAAAAGGCAAAAGAAGATGATTCACACACAATAATCTTTATAATAAACATTTACAATGTTATGTGGTGATAACTATAATTAGTCTTTTCTATTAGGATAATGTTTGAATCATTATATATTAATTTGATACTTGTAATTGCACCAAACCAAAAGTCCTTCTTCAATTCGCATGATCACTTCGGATGTACCTGCAAAGCCTCGAGGTGGGTCCTCGGGATAGACACTCCGATGCTTAAGTCAGTAATAAGCGGGGCTACCTTTAGAGAGAAGATAAAAGAAGCTTAGGGTTGGTTTCAATTACCTTTTTAGCGTGACCCCTGGAGGGTATTTATAGGCTTCAGTGAGGAATCCACGTGGTATGCCAAGCAAGATAATCGGAGTCTGACGTGTCTCTCCAGATGGTTATTTCAGGACCGAGAAATTGAGAGATGTATGTGAGCATGTCCACCGTAACTACTGTGCAGCTTTTCATAAGGAATCAGGTGTAGGCATGCTTATTGTTGCTGTCATACAGCTGTTTGAGTGGGAAGTATTGGGTTTATCCTTCATTTTGGTTATTAAAGAATTACTGCTGTACGTCCGAGGTTGGACACCTCGGACGTATCCTTACAATACTACATGATACTTATAAAATTTTTTATTATAAAAAATATTGTGTGAATCAACTTGAATTGCAAAAATATATATCCCACGGTACATTTCCCCCATAATTCAACTTCTTAAAATAAAGCCCAAAACACTTCCAAGAAAACCTTACGAGGCAAGATTTTTATTTTTACAATATATATATATATACACACACAAACGTCAAATTCAATTTAAAAAAAAAATTGAAGTTGGAATTTATATTTAAAAATTAAAATTTTAATTTAAAATTTTAAAATTTAATCAAAATTTAAATTTAAATATTAATATTAAACAAGATAAATTTTTAAATTTTAAATTAAATTTTAATAAAATAAAATAAAATAATGATAAAAATTTTAATTTTTGTTAAGAGTAAAAAATTTATGTACATTTTTCTTTTTTATTTATATATAACGCATTCGTACTTAGCACAAAGGTGTCAGGCCTGGCCCAACAATCAAGTAAAAAGGGGTATTGGGTTAGGGTGGTGGGTGGGATTGGAATAGGGAAGTGTCGGGGTTGTGATTATGGTAGATTATATTATGTTATAATTGTAATTTGAAGTTATTTTGAGACGTAGGTATTTTAGTATTTTGTTATTTATTTTTTTAAAAATATTATGAATAAAATATAATAAA